GATTAAATATGAGATTATAACTTTTACGGGTACTACGAGAATTTGTCATTTATTCGTCGTATAAAAATCATATAATGAAAAACGAGCGCTTCGCTTTTAAATATTTACCCATAAGACACATTGTAATCAAACAACAAAGCCAAAAATCTAAAAGTTTATTTTATTTCGTTTTATTTGCGTTACCGCCGTTACGCCTTCAAAAAAATAATTTAAATAATGTAATTTGAAATTTCAAGGGAATCGAATTGAACTTTATGTTTCGTTCAAATGCTAATTGAAACGAGGATAAAATATTAAAATGTGCGAAACGGTTACGACGTTCTGCGACGAGTCTGAGACACGGTGCGATTTATTTTTTGCATAGATAAAACGGGAAATTCGCACACCGATTAGTGCCGAAAAAATAAAAAAATTAAAAAAATGTAAACCTTACCACTACGCGTAGACCAGAGAACACCTGCAACGTGATTCGTTAAATATTATCGACTCGGTGGCTTCACCTGGCCGGGGAATTTTCACCGATATACAATCGACAGTTGTCAGTCGGGCCGCCGCCGCCGCCTCTCGCCTCTATTGTTATACCATCATACTTGTGTGCAATTCCAATCCATATTGCGTTTAATCTGCGAGTGACGGGACGGATTGAAAAACGAAAATATATATTAGAAAATATGAGTTTACAATAATATTGCACGAGTGTAAAAAAACATGAAAATAAAAAAAACGCAAATAAATAAAATAAATAAACCTCGACCATTGTTGGAGATTAACTAGGTATACACATTAATGAATAATGGGCATTGAAAACTCCACCGAATTTTCGGGAAAAAATAACCCCCCTCCCACAACGAATAAGTAATCGTTTAATCGGCTTATGTGCGGTGTCCGTACGTAGAGGGCAGCTGTCAATCCTCCGGCGTATTGATTAGAATTATCACTGTTATGAGTGACGGTGGCTTGGCTAGTCGGTTAGGGCAGAAATCATATATGATAATCCGTAAATTAATAAATTAAGCTCTGAGGTGTTTTTTTTTATTATCAGCGAGACGTTTTAGTGGTCTAAGTACTAATAAATATTGTATTACGAATAATTCCAGTTCTATTAAAACATTTTTTTTAAAAAATCGTTTTTCATAATTTTATATAAGTACCTACAGTAATATAATATAATTTTATAATGTATTATTATAGGTACCATAATGATATTTCAATAATATACCTATACCGTCGATGAGTATTGGAAAATTAATATAGTGCTACGTTCTGTTATGCATTTATTTTCATCAAAGTGCCTTTCACGTTGAGTCTCAGAAATGCTCTAATGTACATAGGTTTTATTTTACTATGGCCATTCGTTTTTCACACGTCATTTAAAATTAAATCAAATAAATAATGATTTAACGCAATACTTATCAACAATTTCAGACATAGGGATAACATTTTGTTTATCGTAGTCGCAACTAATAATAGTATTAAATAATATTACAAGTGATGGCACAAGAAAAAGAATATCGACCATCGTCAATATCTTTGTTAACCTTATTTTGTAATGATTACAATTAATAAGATAATTATTATCTAACTCAAACTAAGGCTACAACTCAAAATTGGGTTTCAAAATAATGAAATTATAACAAAATAGTTAAGTATTAAAAAAAAAAAAAAAAGTTTTTTCAGATAGAAAGATAATTAAATTATTTTTTTTTTGTAGTTAATTGATAATTTTGTGTGACTTCGTAACAACTAACAACATTACTAGAAGTTCATATCAAAACAATTATTGGATAAAACAGATGTTGTAAATTATCTTTAGATTTCAGTCCATTAATTTAGATTAGAATATATTATTATATTATATTTAGAACCAAAAAGCGATCAAAATTTGTTGAAAATTATATTGCGTCAGGAACATTATATTTCTTTAACACTCTTTCTATCCAATAAAGTAATTCCAATCGTATAAATACATTTTCATTTTTATCGTTTTCTCTTCAACCATAAAATATAAAAGAATATTGTAGAATCGAATCCTACATTATTATATTTTATTATTTCTTCGTTTTAATTATTGTTATTAAACCTAAGTAGGCACGACGTGCCTACTTAATATAATAACCATTGAAATAATAATTATGAATTTAGTGTTGATCAACACTGTCTAGTTGGTACGTATGTTTTATAATCGTAAAACTCTTGGAAATAACACTAAATAAGATTTTTAATTATGATTTATTTGGGTCTAATTTCATTCCACTGGTAGCATAAATTTAATCTAAATTTATGTTATGACTTATTAAAAAAAAAAAAAAAAATGTTTTTCTTTAGATAATAGGAACCCTTTGGGATGCGATTTAAATGTCCTTTTTAAATGTGGATGCCAGAAAAATAAGCTATAAATCAAACCACGTAATATTTATGTTTTTTTTAAAACAAAAACAAACTAGTGAAATAATGATATTTAATTAAAGAACAATATTGTGAAAAAAATGTAAAAAAAAAACTATAATTAAATTAATTCCCATAAACGTGTTGTCATTTTGCTTAAATAATTTATTTTGAAAAGATAAATTTCCGTTTCTTATCAAAATACCTACTCAGATTTCAAATAAAAGTGAACATAGTTTTTTTTTTTTTATATTTCTTCTTCATGCATGGGTGTGAAATCATTTATATTCATCGTGAATAATGATCCACTCATCAATGCATTCAATACAATCATTACCTATGTGAGTTCGTTAAATTTTTCATGAATGCGAATGTATTTTTACATTCAAACCCTTTATTAAAGTTGTTTTGAAATACTAGACAGCAATATGTGAATATAAAATTTCCAATATTATTATTATTATGATATCCACTATCACCCAGCACTGTCTGTCAATTAGTCAGACAATCAGTACCTACTTTATTTCTTTATCGATCAGTAAGTTGTCGTCATTATTGAACCATTTAGGTTCTATTTAATGATATCCACATTCTCGACATGATTAAAATTATTAAGATAAAAATAAATCAAAATGATAGTCAAAACTTTAAAAATATATATTTAGGTACCATGGATAGTTTAAGGCGAATATTTTACATAGATTCAAATACAAGACAATATTTATTTAAATATCAGAATATGTTAATAAAACGAGTATACTTATAGTATGTTTTAAAAGTATATATAATATAATGAGTTTTATAATATTATGCTTATTAAATTCTAATGATAATGTATGAATGTATATAACTTATGAACTTATCGATTGAAATGTAAATAATATTACTGTAGAAGTTGGGTACCTACTATTGTAATATTATTCATTCATATTTTTAAATAAAATATTATAATATAGATAACGCATACGGGCTTGAGCATGCATTGTGCAAAACTAATGTGATGATAAGTGAATTCTTTTATTTTTAATTCAAAGACGAATATGAGTACATTCAGTTTAAAACAAAATGTAATGCTCCAAATAGGTACTACCTATTTTATTATATTTTTGCATGTTTAGTTCAACACGAGTTCCCAACAGTACAACTTTTCGTCGTCAAAAAAACTTTATTAAAATATTTACCTCACCTATTTAAGTTTTATTAAAAACAGTGTTTAATGTAAACTTTTTGTGACTGATATTTCGGTAAGTTATGAGTAATTTTTTAGTAATTTAATTAATATATAAGTCATATTAATAAAATGTGAACCATGTTATCATCATTGGTAATAATGTAGTATTTTGTATTTTCTACCTATATCCTCACTACAATTACTTTAAAAATGAATATCGAGTTCAAACATGATCAGTGGGGCCCATTATCTTCTTGGAGAATAAATTAAAATAAAATAAAAAATAAAATAATAAATTACTGGATACATTATACTGCAAAATATAGTCAATTTATTCGCACTTTAATTCTATTATTAATACCCATGACGTAATTATGTTTAAAGTGAGCATGCACAGCAATATAACCGTTTGAGTGTTTCCGTTTGAAACTGAATTCCGTTTTATGTAGATTCAGTTTTCAGTACTTTTCACTCTTCACTTTTCATATTATAATATAACTTGAATGTATATTAAATAACTATATAAAGCGCGCATAATAATTCCGAGTATTCTCTTTTAAAAATATGACCTATTAACATACTATTTAAACTTAGACAAAAGTTCCTGGCCTTTTATAATACAAGCCATGTTAAAGCTAAATGCTAATATATTCCTAAAATTTTGTGAGCCCAACAATTTGTACTTGAAAAGTGTTCCACATCGCATATATAGGTACAATCTGCCTATAAAGTATTAGAATATACATTATACATTATACAAATTATATAATTAATTTTACTTTCAAATTTAGTTTATTGTTTTAATACATCTACTCATCAATATGAATTGCGCCGGGGCCTGTATACTGCGAAACGTAAACGAACAAAATTAAAAGGTCAGATGGACCATTTGTTTAGGTAAACAATACTTAAATTAAATATGGACCATCTCGGGGAGCAAAAAATTGTTTGTTCAGTGTGAGAACAGTGGACCGTTTCTCCCGGAATCCAACACCAATCACCTGGCGTGAATCCAGAGTCGTCCGTAATTTATTTTTATCTTCGAAATATATACCACAAACACAAATAAACCAAAGCCTGGAGCGCTTTGAGCGCATGACGTCGAAAATACAAGAAACTCGCGATCATCGACTGTGATGTGTACACTGTCGAATAATAATAACATCTTCCCATAATCGTATCACTATCGTCAGTATATTATTATTGTCTCCGTTCGCCGTTGCAAACGTACGAGACCCGTTCAACGTGCGAAACGAAATACAAATTCGTATCAATTGGACGTGATATATATATAATATATACAACGGAAATAGCGATAAGGGCAAACGGAGGAGGCAAAAAAAAAATACAACGCGACAACGCGACACGACAATAAACACTCACACAAACACATGGTCGAACGTAACACGTAATTGCGTCGTACAGTGCAAGGCATATACCTCTGATGTGTGGGTGTGTGGGTCGGAAGCGGTATATAACGACGACATCATCGACGACAGTCACTCGAGCACTCGACCCGCAGAGAGTAATAATTGACAGCGGTGTCGATAGTGCGTTCGAAGTGGGTGCGATGGCTGAGAGCGGATGTATGGAATGTACACATCCGGTTCGGGCGGCATTAAAGGGTGCGTCTTTTCACAGACGGAAATACCCCCGTCCGGCGGGGGTGGCTATTTCAAACGTCGGCCGCCCGACCCCTACCACCCCTACCCGTAAACGCACACAGGACGCACACAAATTCGACGGCGGCGGTGGCAATGGAACTTACTCGGAACAGCAGCAGCAGCAGCAGCAGCATCAGCAGCCGCCACCACCACCACCACCGCCGCCGCCGCCGCCTGCGGTTGTCAAGGCGACGGCTTGAGAAAGGTGCCGAAATCGCTTCGCTCTCGTTTTCCGCCCCGGGTCCAGTAGCTCGTCACGCGTGAGCATCGCACCACACGGTCGTCGCGTAAACACACGTGGTCGCGTCTCGTGGTCTCGGTCGCGTGTCACTCACGCCCACCCGTACAAGCGTACATGTGGTGGCCGTGCTGGTTTCGAGTGGCCGTCGCCCTCCTCCTGCTGATGTGCTGCTGCGGCCGGTATCCACCGTCGTCGCGGTGGCCGTCCGCCGGTCGGGCAGACGCCTCGGCCGTCCGGTCCGGAGGAGGTGGCGGCGGCGGCGGTGGCGGTGGTGAAAAGGACCGCGGTGGCGCCGGCGGCGGCGGTGCGGTCGGCGGTGGCCGGTGGAAGCACAAGGGCGTAGGCGTCGGACTCGGCGGTAGTGGCCGCTCGTCGCACCGCCGGCCGAACGCGGGCGACAGACGGCCTGAGATGGCCTTGAACGTGGGCATGCTCATGCCGAAGACCAGTTTTGGGGTTCGAGGTTACCTGCGCGCCATACACGACGCCATCCAGGGCATCAACAAGGCGTACAAGAAGAACCATTCGACCAACTTCAGCAAGATCTACGACTTCGAGGAACGGAATGTCAGGTCCCAGATGATGTCCCTCACTCCCAGTCCCACAGGTCGGTACGATTCAATAGTGTTATGATATCGTATGATTATAGCATGATAAGGTACCTACCAGTAGTTCAGTGGTGGACCTGAAGCTAATTTTATTGGGGGGGGGGACCAAATATTTATTTTACCAAACTATACACACTCAAATTTTTCTACGTACTTTTTTTCTACTTTTAATAATTTCGGCAGTGGAAGAGCCGTTACTTTGTGCCATTGTGGAATGAGATACTATTCTCTATAATTGGTATACAACAGAAAAAGTTTAATTGCTATTAAAATATTTGAAATATAATAACAAATAACAATAAATTTGTAATGTTTGATGGTAATTAATCATACTTAACCAGAAAACAATTTTGGTATGTACGTGACATGTGCCATGTGGTTAACCGTTTGGAGGCAGCTGTCAACAATAGAGCAACAGACGTCGAAATAGATAACATGTTTCAAAAACCATAATCAATTAGGTACAAAAAAAAACTTAAAAAATCGGTAACATTAATAGTATTTTTTTTACCGGTTAAATTGTTCTTTGGAGATTTATCGAATTCACATCTTTAGTCCAAATACTTTAAATTTAGCAAAATTTAATAAATCATGTTATTAGAAGATGCCTTAGTACTTGGATTTGGGCTATGGAGGGATGGCGATCGTCACCCCCTCCCCCATTTCCACCCCCTAAAAGTCAACACTTCTCTAATCGCCTGCACCGTACTACTAATATATTATTATTTGCATGCAGTCGTACGTGGATTTAGGATTCATCAATTTGGGTGCGACGAGGATTTACGAATATTATTGTCGACATATTGTTTATACAGTCGCATATTGTATTATAAACATCGTGCAGGGATCTCCGTTAAGCACGGATTCGCATTCCGCATACGACATCGTACTCGCGACGAACTCACGATCCGCCGAGTACATCCCACTCCAACCACCTGCACCTTCACCCCCCCTCCCCCCCTGTTACTGATTACACCGGAAATTCGAATTTAATCTGCAATCGCCACTCGACGCGTGGTATTATTTGTACTACTGTTGCGGTCCTGCCTGTTGTGTTCGTGTACGTCGTCGGAAATTACGATATTATTATATTAATATTACGAGACGATGCGTAGTAGGTAGGTACTAAAATCCAATACGAAATGTTATCTTTCCAGAATATTATTGCAGCCGACGCCGTAACACTTAATACGCCCTTAATCCGGCCCGACGGGAATTCGTAATAGTCCTTCACCCACAAGAGATCGCAACAAGCTTCGATTCTGTAGTACAACATAATATTATATATGTACTGTTTGTGTGTGGGTGGGTGGGTGCAGGGTGTGTGTGGGTGTGTACTGTCGTGTACGTTATTATAGATCACTCGCTCAAAGCGTTAGGCGATAATTTTTAATACAATTATTCGTCTGATCCACATCGTTATTAATTACAAACGACGACGGTTTGAAATATTTATGTGCAATGACAGTTTTGTCTGTTTGTTTGTGTCCCGCCGCCGCCGCCGTTTTGGTACGGCTGAATTATAATCGGGATGAACGCAAAAACTAATGCAATTATTTAATTTAATTGTAGCTCACACACGCTCACACGGTCTATACGTGATCTGATGTCTGATTATTAGCCTGATACGCATTAACATAATATCACTATATTTTATCATCGGCGGGCAGGTTATTAGTCATCATTAGGTAAACGACATAACAGGGCCGCTCCACATGTGGATGTTAAATGATACTTACGAGCTAAAAACAATATTTTTAACCTATAGAAACGTATTAGCGTGTGTAGTAAATATATATTATGAAAGCGCAGATAATATTAAATTTCAACATGCTAATTTCAAAACAAACAAATCTGTATATTTAGAGGTAGGTATTTAAAATGTGATTTTATGCTAATTTCCCATATATAAGGACCGCAGCTGCAGTTATGTGTCAACGGTTTATATTTTATTTTCTTTCAGTTAACATAAAAAGTAGGATATTATAATATAAAACGCTTCCAATTTTATAAAATGCAAAAATGAAAATTAATACGATTTTCTGTATAAAATAATGTAATCGTAGTCTGTTTTTTCAGTGTGCGGTAGCGAACAATTATAACGGACCAGCACGTAAAAATAATTCCAGCCATTAGAACGTAAACATTTTCACACATAGGTACCCACTACAACAATAGTACAATACATTTCAGGTTGATTGAAAAGTGATTAAATCGAACTGCAATAGTACAAATACGGCACACTAACTGAGAAATTAAAAATCATCAACACAAGCTGACGAAATCACTCCTCTGTTTCACCGATCTTATACTCATAACTGCAAAAACAGCTGTTCCATTGTATTGCCAAAGATTTAGTAACAACTATCGAATTTTCATCAGCGGTAAGATAAATTAAATGAAAAAATTGTTTGACGCAATCAGATTTTAATTTAATTTGATTTCGGCACAATACAATCGTTTTTCCTGAATTAGGCATTGCTTTTTAACTTAACATTGTTATAAATTATAATACGATTGCATCTTATTGTAACTACAAATAGGTAGGTAATTTAAATAAATAGTAAGTACCTATAGTGTTCGGGGTTAGCAGATATGATTACTACGTTAGATTCATTAAAATTGCATTTAATTTATATCTACTTGTTAATTTTTAAAAAATATGTACCTTTGGTCAATCATCAACATAATAAAATTGCGTACATAGTATTTTAAATAATTGTTTTCAATATAATGATTGTATTAAAATCTTTGTTATTCACATAATACGATAAAAATAATATATAACATAATTTTATTCTGTATAGCGTTATAAAAATAGGAATTCATCCTACCATATTAGTGCGAAATTCAGAATATGATAAACTGTTTTCATAGATTATACTCAGACCTTGCTAAGAGATTAAAAATAGATAACAAATATTGTATTGTACCTAACTTTTATAAATACTGATACCTAACATCACGGGATCATATTATTGTACAGTGTACACGTTATATAATCAAACGAAAATATTATATTTCCATTAAAGTTATCGGAAACCTGGCATTGAAATTGTCCATTACAATATATATTATAATTTTATGATACTGTGCTTATTTGTACAAAAGTACCTAATGAATATTCATAATAATAATACGAAATATAACTCATTATTATACAGCTAGGTAGTATAAATTATATTATTCAATTTTAAAGCAAGATAAAATTCGCTACCAGAAACTACCGCAAAGTTAAATATTGAAAAATGTTTACCTATAGTTCTTCGAGAGGTATAGGTAATGGCTGATGAAAGACACAATGCAAAAACAAAAAAAACAACGTTTATACATCATTGTAAAACCAATGCTTTCATCGGTCATATTATGTACGCTCCGAAACTAATAAGAAAAGTTACATTTTTGAATAATTCAACTACCTATATACATAATAATATTTGGAAATGTGTTCTTTTACGCCGTCGGTGGTGTAACGGACGATTTGCACACCGAAAACTTTCGCCGAGATAATTTATTTAAATTTCAGTTGGAGGTTTCCGTGAAAATCCCTCGCAGAAATATCTGTATATAAAGTTTAAATTAGATATCGGCTACATTTCGGGCTTTGATGAACTCGCGAGCTTTCCGACATGGCCGATAACAACAAACCATGCATAAAATGTAAAGTCCGCAGGGAAACCCCCACGGAATTCGTTCCGAATGATAGTGGAGTAGTCACATATAAAGGCATTGGGGCCTAGTCAAATGTTAGCTGAGGCCATATTGTTCTGAGTACTTGCGACCAGCTAGACCATCAAAACTTGCGAGTTTATCACACTGACGCATATCTGCAGTGATAAATAACTCTGAGCTCTGGTCGTTGTGGTCTCGTCGTTTTTCTAATGGACACCGATAATTTGTTAAACTATAACCCTTTGACTACATCGGTTGATATAATTTATTTTAACACCCCTATAGTATTGCGATTCTTTTGTATAGTAAACCGCGGAAAGTAATGAAAAGAATTAACAAAAACTTCCAAATAAAGTAATATAATATACATAATATATTATATACAACTAATAAGTTAGGTCCTAGATGGTACACTGTATCACTACACACTGTATATTAAATACTTACATTAATTATTTTGTATTCTAATTTCCTAACCAATGTATGTGCATTTAAGGTATAGTTACATGAAGTGTCTTCATATTTTATTATATAAATATGTAATCATGTTATTAGACTATATTATTTACTAACAATAATTATTGTCCATAATAATAGGTTAAAGTTATGGGGACAGTGATGATTAAAAAAACAAGAGTAGGTAATTACAGTAGAAATAAATAGTTTTTCGTTTATTTTTCTCTACGCTATTGATAATAATAAATAAAAACAAATATTTTTTTCTACCATTAATATTTTTCTTATATAATATGTACATTGTATACATATATGTTTTATAAGATAAACTACAACCTCATTATTTTTTAAAAAAAATAGCATTGTGTTTCAAAAGAGTGCATGGTTTTCATATACTTCAAGTAAAACACATTATATAATATTGATGATTTAAAATTGAAGTAACTGCTTGTAAAGAAGTTTGATTCCAATAAAATATTTATTATCTGGGTAAATACTTCAAAATATTTTGATTAAATATAATTTTTAATTGATTCGTAATTGTTGAGTGGCCATCTATTTCTTAGTGTTAAATTTGTTTTTCTATAGATCAATACTTTATATGCAGTTAATAATGTTATGACTAAGACAATGCACAATAAAACATCGTGTACAGTGTAGGTACAGTAACGTTGCATTCCATCTTCAAACATTCTTGTGTTAAAAATTAAAATCAATTATTAAATACGAACAAATTATCTTTGGTTTTCATATTAGTAATGGTATTCAAAGGTTCAGTTACTAAAACCGAAATCACGGATAGTTAATGTTTACAGGCGAAATGATCATAAATTTAAATAAGTTGGCCTTAAACAATGGTTTACTACTAATCCATATTTTCTTGTCATTATATAGTAC